TCTTCACAAATCACAAGTATAAATGAACTCTTATCTTAAATTTTGGATCTCATCTGCCAAAATTCGTTAAAGTATAAATACCCAAAACTTTTGTGCCGACAAAAATAAAATAAAAATAGACAACTTTTTTTTTTCTTTCAAATTTTTCTCACCACTACATATATATAACTTGATCACGACCATATTCCCATTGTTCCCTTCAATTTCAAATCTCAACCTCACTTAATTTCACCATGTCTTCTTCCATCTCTCTCATCCTCACAACCGCCGTAATCCTCTTCCTCTCCACCGTCTCCGCCGCGTCGCCAATTCACGGCTTCCGCCGTCCATTCAACAGAATCTACGCCTTCGGCGACTCATTCACCGACACCGGAAACTCACGCTCCGGCGAAGGCCCCGCCGGTTTCGGACACTTGTCAAGCCCTCCGTACGGCATGACTTACTTCCGGCGACCAACGAACCGTTACTCCGACGGTCGACTCACCATCGATTTCGTGGCGCAATCGATGAATTTACCGTTTCTGCCACCGTATCTCAGCCTCAGATCCACTAAAGGACGTAACGGCACATCTACGGATACTTACGGCGTTAACTTCGCCGTTTCTGGATCAACGGCGATTAAACACGCTTTCTTCGTGAAGAATAATCTGACGCTTGATATGACTCCTCAGTCTATTGAAACACAGCTTGGTTGGTTCGACAAGTATTTAGAGACACTTGGAAAGAATCAGAAGGTTTCGTTGTTTAAAGATTCTCTCTTTTGGATTGGAGAAATCGGAGTTAACGACTATGCGTACATCCTTGGATCTACTGTGACAAGTGACACTATTAGAGGACTTAGTATTGCAACTTTTACAAGGTTTTTGGAGGTAAATTCTAGTATTCAATTTATTGCATAATTAACATTTTCTATATCATTTACTGCATAATTAACATTTCTGCAATATGGATATTCTAACAATATAGCAATGATTTTGTTGTTGTTAGAATAACAAAAAAACAACAACATAGTAATCTGAGTTAGAATTTGGTTTGGGGTTTTAGAGATATACAGGTTTGTTTCGGTTAACTAAACCAATTTATCCCTAATTTGCAAGATATAGATAATTGATGTTTACATTGTAAGTCATGACACCGAAGTGATCTAACCAATTAGTCATGCTTAAGATAGCAACTTGAGTTATCGATAAAACAAGAAGTCCGTGAATGTGGAAGATTAACGAACCGGTTTAGTTCGGTTTACAATTTAACACACGAATAAACCGAAATCTCTTAGTTTTTCAACATTTACAACGTTTTTATGGAGGTAACTTTATATATTAGCTATTAATAAGTGCATTATTAATATGCAATAGGGTGCAAAATCTAATCTAATTGATCGCCT